TATATATATATATATATATATATATATATATATATATATATATATATATATATATATATATATATATATATATATATATATATATATATATATATATATATATATATATATATATATATATATATATATATATATATATATATATATATATATCTTTGCTTCATATCGAAGGTAATGGAAAGAATTGTCGCTAACGAGCTGTTAAACCATTTGCCTAAAAATAATAATAATTTGTTGCATAGTAATCAGTCAGGATACAGAAAATATCATTCGACAGAAACAGCCTTGTTACATGTTTTTTCAACTTTGTGCGCAGCGGTGGATAACCAATATGTATCGCTGGTTGCTTTCCTAGATATGAGTGCAGCCTTCAATTGTGTTGATCATGATATTCTACTGCGGAGATTATGTGAAGATTTTGGTGTAAAGGGGACAGTACTCGCATGGTTCACATCATATTTTTCAAATCGTACTGAACAGATTTTTTACAATAAAACCTGGTCTAGAATTAAGAACATAAAGTTTGGAGTTCCTCAGGGGTCGGTGTTGAGACCAATATTGTTTCTGTTGTACACACATGAGATCCTGGATGTCATCAAGTCCTTTGGATTCACGAGGCATGCCTTTGCTGATGATATACAGATTATTGCTAGTTGCCCGCCAGATGAGTTTGATGAGATGGGTAACAACTTAATACGTTGTCTGGCAGAGGTCAATAAATGGATGATTAAAAACAGACTAAAACTTAATCAGAGTAAAACAAAACTACTGCCGGTAGGAACTTGGCAACAGCTTTCAAAAATAAATATCCCATCACTGGATATAGATAATGTCAAAGTGGAATTCTGTACAAATGCTTCAAGTTTGGGCGTTAACATGGATTCTAAGTTAACATAAAATCATTGATGAGAGTTTACACTTTCCAACTACGTAGGTTGAAATTGATAAAAAATCGCTAGACGAAAATACTCTTAAGATGTTAATGCATGCATTCATCCATTCGCGTTTGGATTATTGTAACAGTTTGTTCAACGGCTTACCAGAAAAATCATTTGGGATGTTAACAGTCAGTTCAAAATCGTGCGGCTAGAGTTGTGTCTGGCGCCTTTAAATACGACCATGTTTCACCAATTTTAAAGCAACTACATTGGTTGTCTATCAAAAATCGTGTTCTGTTCAAAACTTGTGTATTAATTTTTAAATGCATCAATAATTGTGCATCTAGATATTTGATAGACAAAACAACACGAAGGGCACCTCATTATGTCAATTTGCGATCTGATGAGTCAAATTACCTGGCTGTACAGACAAGCCAGTTAAGAATAGGATCTAGAAATTTTGCTGTTTTGGCTCCTAGGATATGCAACAATCTCCCAAGCCATTTACGGGATTCTGGTCTGAATTTGTTGACATTTAGAAGGCTGTTAAAGACTTATTTGTTTTCATCCTAACAATGTTTTTGTTTTTGCATTTTGAGAGCGCTTTTGATAAATTTTACATTTTAATTGGCGCTACATAAGTTGTAATAATAATAATAAATAAATAAATATATATATATATATATATATATATATATATATTGTTCGTGCACTGCGTTATTTCATGTTTGTGTTTGCGTTGGGTGTGTGAGTGTGTGTTTGTGTGTGTGAGAAAGAGAAAGAAAGAAAGAGAAAGAGAGAGAAAGCTTACATGGTTGTTAATGTTAACCTTCTATAAATATTGCCGATTGAAGTAATGGCTAAAATGAAACTAACAACAGTGCCACATATTGTGGTTATGGTTATTTATAAGGTCCATATTTCACAACAACATCCCATTTTATTTTTAAGTTGTGGAATAAGCTGGCAGACGAATGTGGAGAGCATGTGGAAGTATGACCGATATATCATAAAAATGACAAATACAAATTACATGCATTTCGACTGCTACTATTATTACTACTACTACTACCACTACTACTACTAGTACTACTCTACTTCTACTACTACTACCACCACTACCACTACTACTACTGCTACTACTACAGCTACTGCTGTTACTTCTACTTTCACAACAACAACCACTACTACAACCTACTACTACTAATACTGCCACTACACTACTATTGTTGCTGACACAATTATTATAATTATTATGCTACATGAACTAATAATAATAATAATAATAATACAATGTTGTATTATTAATAACTTAATTACTACTTTCACCAAAACTGAATGCTACTGGTACAGCTAAACTAATGCAAACAATGATGAACGTAATAGAAATAAAATTTGCAGCATGCTACCACTATTAATCTATCTTTTAGTAAAACAGTAAGAGTAATGCGAATGAAATGAAAATACACTTGTACAGATGTATACATCAGGAAATACAAAAGCTTTCGCATCTCAACCATCTCAAACAACATTAAGACTGGCCGTGTGAAGAATGGAGATGGTGATGAGTTGGAGAGGGGAAAAAACGATCGGTATGACCTTCCAGCGGGAATGAATGATTACAAACGCGATAACAACAACAACAACAGCAACACTGCCCGTGTAGTCACCAGCAACTATAATGAAAACAGCACCATTTACAACAACCGAAATAATAATAACAACAACAACAACGACGACATTAACAATAACAACAACAACAATAATAAAAATGATAATTATAATAATAACAACAGTAATTATAATTATAATAATAACAATAGTAAAATCAACAACTTTATCAATAATGGCATGAACAAACTGAGCGGCAGATTTATGAATTTCTTCGACGCTTCCATCAACGAACAACACTCCAAATGCACCGGCCCGAGTAGGAAAAGCCTCTACAACATCGTGAACAACGGACCTCTGAAAAACTTTAACGACAATCATCAAGGAGGTTTTGACACTTGGGAAGAGAAACGTCATCGTCGTCATCATCGTCGTCGTCGTCGCCATCATCCTCGATTCATTTCTCAGTCGATTTTTATTGAAGATGAAAAAAGAAGGCATTTTCTAAAGCGAAACATTTACGATTCGTACAGAAATCAATTTGACGACCTCACTAAAATGCATCGGAACAAGCCCATCAAAGACAGCAACAACAACAAAAAAAACAACAACAACCGCCTCAAACGATTGCAAAACAAGCCTAACAACTCTCTCACGAATGATGACATTGACATGAAGAAAAATGAACTAACGAACAGCAGAAGAAAAATCAGACAGACGGAAAACGATTTAACAGCCAAACCATTTCGTCACCAGATAACATGTCCGAAGAACCTGGGCCTTGTAAGTGGGCAGATTTGTGGCAAGAGTTGTAAGAGGGATGTAGACTGCAGGGGCAACAAGAGGAAGTGCCTGTGTGACGGACCTTGTGGCATGACATGCGTCAAAACTAGTAAGTCCAGTTGGGGTCATCTGTGTTTTAGCAATGTTATTTCTTAATGTTATTTGTTGATGTTTTTTGTTGATATTATTTGTTGATGTTATTTGTTGATGTTATTTGTTGATGTTATTTGTTGATGCTATTTGTTGATGTTTTTTGTTGATGTTATTTGTTGATGTTATTTGTTGATGTTATTTGTTGATGTTATTTGTTGATGCTATTTGTTGATGTTTTTTGTTGATGTTATTTGTTGATGTTATTTGTTGATGTTATTTGTTGATGTAATTTGCCAATGGTATTTGTTATGTTATTTTTTAATGTTTTTGAGGACTTGATTTGTTATACGCTGTTGAGCTTTACTGATTATTATTAAATTGTTTTACAAACTGCAAATGTTTTATGACGATGTTGATCGCTAACGTTTCTACTTGTTAATGCAATTAGATGAGGTTTCTATGTTATTTTTAATCTAATGTATCTTTGACAATCTTGTTCATCGATGTTAACGTTCTTCCCCATATTTGCATGCTGGCTGGCAAAATTTATTTCTTGACGCACTGTTTTCTTATGAAAAATCTCTTAGCGTAATCACGCATTAGTTATTTTAGAAACTACATGGTACTTTTTTATTTATTAGTTTTCTTATTTATTAATTTTTTTTTCATTAATTTTTTGAATTTTAATAGCCTTTATTAAGCATAGAAACTTCTTTTTACACTTGCCATTTAAATTTGCATATTTGTTTCTTTATTTATTTAATCAAATCTTTTCAATTTTCGTGATTGGTATATATCTATTATCACAATTGAATATTAGCTCACCAAAAACATTATTTTTTAATAGGATTTATATTCGTAATAAATTGCATTATCATTATAGAGTCCATAATTTGAAATGCGAGTTCGTAATTCTTAAATTTCAACATACCACAAGCTTCTTAACATCGACAACGTCATCATAACTACGCTGATACAATCTCTATATCCTCAAAAAATTTGATCACATTTAAGATCGCATCTAGTTTTTATACAATTTTTCATTATTTATGGCATCCTAAATAGCAGACCTTCGCGATAGTTCCATGCCCTCCTCCCAGCCATCTCTTACACACGCTTGTATGCACACCGCTGTACAAAAACCTTATACTACGAATGAATAAGTATATAAATAGTTGCTTTTTACACTCAGACACGCACAAACACACACCAAAAAACATTCTTCCTCGTTTTACAAATTTTTTTTATATAATACTGCTTGTATTTTTATATGGAACAGCTTGTATTTGTATTTGTATATGTTATATATTTTACATGGTACCGCTTGTATTTTATATGCTATATACTTTGTATGGTACTGCTCGTATTTTTATGTCACTGCTTATATTTTTGGCCGGCTATGAATGGAGGCAGCAGCATTAGTTTATATTTATGTTGTTCTACGGTTGGATCTGTACTGCGTGTGTGGATATTTGGGAGGTCAAGTCTGGAGATTTCATGTTTGCATACACGTGAGTAAATACGTTTTAATGTACTTGTGTGGGTGTATATTTATTTATTCATGCTTGTATTTATTTTTATTGGTCTAGTATATTTTTGTGCGTATTTCTGCAAGTGCGGATGTGTGTGCTCGTGTAGGAGTTCGTGTTCGCTCGCAGGTTTTACGTGGGCGGCGTGGGTGTATGTATTTATTTTTCTTACAAAAGTTATCATCTGAATTTGAATCTGTTCATGAGAAATGTTCATCTGACGTTTGTTCGTTCGTTCGTTCGTTCGTTTGTTTGTTTATAAGTATGTTTCTTATGTTTTATAAATACGTGTTGGAGACATTTAAGATTTTATAAAGTAGAATCTCCTCCGTTGCATAATACTTCTTTACCGTGAATTAGAACTTCTACTACATTGCGTTTATATCTTCTCAAAGTGAATGTGTGTTCCTGTGCAGGCATTCATAGATGGGAGAGTTTGTGTGTGTGGCTGTAAATCGGCGTGTTTTCGTTATGAATCTGACGATAATCGTGCATTGGACGGTTGAGCATTTCATTCTTCATCGTACAATATTAAATAGAATTAAATTGATGTTAATATTTGCGTCTTATGAACGGTCTTTCTAATGTTGAATTTTGTTGTTACGCAAAAATTAAAGTTAAAATTTTTGAATCGCGTTGGTTAAATGATGATGGTGAGAATGTCAACATGGTTTCGATGGCTGAGTGGGAAGGTGGAAAATTGAAAACTTGTATGCCTCGATGTGGGTGGTGCAGTAGAATTTTAACGTTGCATCATCTGCAGTGGAAGGAAGTGGTTGGAATATTGACTGACATTGATTGGCTCCCAATAGTTCATTGCTCTATATTTGGATGACGTAGATGCTGTTTCATTGCTGTTGTCAGATTTTAGTTTGTTCTTTGCGGTTCGTTGTTTGTTGTTTATTCTTTGATCATTGCTCTTCACGGGTTGTACTTGTGTGGCAGCCGTGGTTTGATTATTATTGGTTTTTATTGTTCATGTTTTAATTTGTTTACACAGAAGATTTTTTTATCTTACTGTTGTAAATCTAATTTTTTTTGATGCATTTTCATTCATTTCCACCCAGCCATGCGTTGCCAAAAGTTAGAGCCCCTGGCGAACGGATACTTCGAAACGGAGCCGATACTGGGATTCGATTCGAAGGCACTGTACGCATGCGACGACGGATTCATTTTGAGTGGCAGGAAGGAGAGGAGGTGCCAGGCTGACGGGACCTGGAGCGACAAACCTCCCAAGTGCCTGTCCGAAGGTCTTATAACGTTCATTTTAATATAAAATTAAAAATATTCTTTGTTGCGTGGCAACAGTGAGAATGAAAAAATGACATCAATAAATGAAATGGGATAAAATGCCATGAAACATACTTCATGTTTACATACGCAATGCGATCAACAACAACAAAAACATTAACAACAACAACAACAAAAACAACATTAACAACAACAAAAAAAACAACAACAACAGCAATAATCAATAGTTATACAATGTCAACATTTGCAATATGGTTGGATGCACGATCGTACAGTTTCAGTTCAACGTATGCTTTAAAAAGTTTCAAAACGAGGTCTAAGTTGAAAGTTCAAACGCACATTCACCAGCAAAATTATTTCTCTGAACGATTTTGCAGCTGGTTGACACAAACTTTGCACTGAACAAAAGCAAAACTCGTTTTTAACAACGGCGCAAAATTGTATACAACTAACTTATCGTGCAGTTAACAACATGCCTACAAAACTCGCAAGCCACGAAGCCTGGGGAGCCTGCGTAGGGAAACTATGGCGACGCTGATTGGTTGAGAAATAAATCAGCGGCATTAATTGATTGAAATTGTAACAGCGATTAATTTGGATAGTGTTGATGGTGGTCTTGATAATGATAATATTGATAAAAATTAACAAATTAAAACTTAATGACAAACGAAAGAAATGAAACTAAAATGTTGGCAGGAGCATGTGGACAGCCGCCATTTGTCCTGCACGCCACTTTCAACGACCCCAAACCATCTCAATCATCCTCACCTCTGTCAGTTTCCTCATCTTCATTTCTTTCTTCCTCACCAACGTTATCATCATCATCATCATCATCATCCTCATCATCCTCGTCCTCATCCTCCTCATTAAATGCGTCATACGACTACTCAACGCCGAACATCATAACGAACTACGACGAGGAGGTCACCTACGAACTGGGAACCCAGCTGTGGTACCAATGTGAGAGGGGGTACCGGAGGGTTGGACTGGACAGGACCATCTGTGCGGGGGAGGGGAGGTGGACCATCCTGAAGATGAAGTGCTTACGTAAGTACATTCATCCATGATTGTTTGTCCTCCTATCTTGTTTCAATAATTTTTGATCAATCGAAATATCATCTTTTTTAAATAAACCAACTTTAGCAAATAAGACAGATTATAGAATTGATTTCAAAAAATGTGTATTACCACTAAACTGTGAACAAAATTTAAAATTCGAAGCATTCAATGAAACTCCAACCAATCAACCATCCAACCAGCCATAGAATGTTCGACCCCCGGAAAGGTCTTGAACAGCAAACTCATGTTGAAATCATACCACCATCATCATCCCAATCACAATCTTCAAAGACCGGTTAAAAGTAGCGACTACCTGGACGACAAAAGTGAGGAAACTTACTACTACCGCGACAAAATTGTCTACGGATGTTTGAATGGATACTACTTGAAAGGAAACAAGGAAAGGGAATGTACGGCCGGTGGTAGCTGGTCCGGCAGAGAGCCATCCTGTATTGGTTGGTTTTGTTTGTTCCTCTCTGTTTCACTATCTTTATACCGGCATGGTTATTAATTCATTGTTTTATTGTAATTTGTTCAAAAAAGTTTATTTTGTGGTTTCTGTGTGTTTATTTATAATGTTTGTTTATTTAGTTTTAAATAAGTTTGGAAAAATTTTCATAGCTTTGCTGTCAATCTCGAATTTATTTTAAAATGTTTGAATGTTGCTAATAAAGAAACATTAGAAATATTGTGTGTTATTCATTTTATTAAACGTTGAAAATTGAAGACCCATCCTGAACACGTTTTAAGAGATATAAACGAATAGAATATTAAAGCTGAAATTCACCCACCGACCAGCTGTTAACTGCCTCAAGCCAAGATCCATCGAGAACGGCGTCCTGAAAGTGAGCCGCAGAAACGCCAACACACGCAAACGACGACCGCACAAACACAACAAACAGCAACATCACGTGATCACTGACGACAAATACGAAGCGTATGGTTCTCTGGTGACGTACATCTGCAATGAAGGTCACGTGATCGAGGGCGACGACACGAGGATGTGTCTGGAAGACGGGGAGTGGTCCGGACTGGAGCCAACTTGCAAAGGTATCATTAATTCTTACGAAAGAACTTCCTCAGCGTTGCATTCTATGCAGCTGTAGCGTGATGCTTGTTAGGCTTTTTTTTAAATTTGCAATATATCTTGGCTCATTCCGTTAAAACGAGTAAAAAAATGTTACATTATAAAATGTTATTTTACTACAATTTGTTAAGCAAAAGTTCATTTTTCTTATTTAAATTGCTGGCAACTATTACACAACTGAATAATAAAAAATGCAGCAATTATTGAGTGCATGACTATTATTATTTGGCATATTGAAGCAAGTTTATTCGTGAAACAAATACATTCAAGTTGTTCACTGCCAACCAATCCCGAAATCTTACAATTTGCTCGTCAGCACGTACGATACAGTCTACAACACCATTGTCACTTTTAGGTCACTTTCTTTGTTTTTCAAAATAAACCGTGGTTTTAATTATTTTTAATTATAAAAATTATTTACCTCTACAAATCATTATTTGGATCGATGTATACTGTATAGTATTGAAGATATTTGCTGAATGACTGACTGCAGTTGTATCAGAGACTCTACAATTCTGACGGAGACAGTGTCAGCCACATGCAATGCAAATGGAAGCTGGAGCATCCAACCACCTATCTGCTATAGTAAGTACTTTATTTTTGTTTTTCGAAACTTTGAGGCAACCATGTTGAATTTTTAAAACTTTACTAAGACTTGATGACAAATATTTTTTAAGTAAACCTAGAGTAGATTTGTTGTCATTGTTCAGCAGCGACTCTGGTTTAGTTTGTATCAGATTAAAAGTGAACTGTTTTTTTGGAATTTCTATGGTTCCCAAAAGATTCCCATAAAAATTGGTTAAAAATATTTTTTGTGAAGAGATTTTATGGAGTTGAGAATTACTTGACTAAAAGTCGACAACAAAAAATTGAAATGGGAAACGATTTTTCTTCTATGCTAATGCAAGTACAAATTATAAACATCGGCACGTTTTCATATTCAAGCGTCATGAAGCTTTTAAAGCGTCACGCATTAAAAGCTTCAAATAAATAAAGGTGTAATTAAGATGTGACTGAGAAGATATTATCAAGATATTTTGATGTGTATAGAGCTATTAATAATCTCATTTGTTAAAGCTTGCATGATTGGATCATGAAAATTGCCAGGATCATTATTCATTATATGTCTAATAAATCCACGAAGGTCAAAAACTTTGATTTAAAACAATACAAAATTGCCTGAAAAAATTACAGGCGACTGTGATTACTTTTTTCATTAAAACAAACCAGAACTTGTGGCAAAAAAATGTAGACCATCTTTTATATTTGTATAGTATTCAAAAATACTTATTTTTTATTTAATTGAAATTTTCTTTCTTTAATTTTCAAAACGTTTGTTTTAATGTTGAAATTTTGCGAAATAGGGAAAAGAAGGAACGGAAATAACGGAAGAAAACGCGGGAATGAGGTTAAAAGATAGGGAATGAGAGTTTATGGGACGTCTTAACAAGCGGGGGAGTCGGCAGGAAAATAGGAATAACTCAAAAAATAGAAGAAATTGATAACCAAATTTAATTCCTGTTCATATATATGTCAGAAAATTACCAGATGAGCATCTACTGCTTTCCAGTTGGTTTAAATGTTGAAGATAGATAGTTTCTTATTTTAAAATTTTGCTTTAAGATTAAAAATCGCAATATAACATTCTATTTTATAGTAATTCAAAAATTAAACCATTCATACTTACAAATAAAATAATCATACAATATTTAATGTATACATGTTCATTCATTCTCTGTACTGAATTAACTTAAAGACTGTTGGCTAAGAGTCACGAGTTGGAAACAAAACCTTTATTAATATGATGAATAGAAATGAGAGTATAAGATGTCTGCCTGCAGGTCGTTGTAAGATACCACCACCAATTGGCGGGTCCCTGGAAGACATGTTCGTGGTGGGCTCCTACGTGGACCACGGGTTCAACTTGACTTTGAAATGCGACCAGGGAATGGTGATGGAGGGAGAAGGTATTTTATGCTACAATGGTACTTGGATGAGTACGGTGGGATGCGTCAAAAGTACCAGTAAGTCCGCTTGTGTTTGTGTTTTTCTGACCTGATGTGTTTGCATTGGATTGTCCTTTTTTTATTTATGCGTCTGATAATTTATTTTTAGAAACGAATGTTTGTCTATCTTTTAATTTGTTTTAAGATAATTTGTTAAATTCTGCATCTTTAATTAGTTTAATTATAATAATTTTCATTTCTGCAGATTCCTGTGATGAAGTGAGGCCACCTGAATTGAAAGATGGCTACTTCAAGTACCACGGCACGCAACACGGAGAGACGGCCAAGTACTTCTGCTACTCTGGCTACCGACTGGAAGGACCCGATACGGTGACCTGCTATGATGGAGTTTGGCTCGGAGACATGGAAAACACTACGTGTGTTCTAAGTGAGTTGTTGTAAAGAAAAAATTGTGAAACGTTGAGAGGTGACCGATGTTTGTTGTTGATGGATTATGTTGAACATTCCATTCATAGAAAGGGATTTTTTTAATGACAATTTCAAAGTTTTGAAAATTGAATTATAAATTTAGAAAATTTTAGTTTCTGAGAAATTGGCTGATTTTTAAAATGTGAATCTAAAAAGCAAATGATCTTTAATAGAAAATATTTTGTTAAAAACTATTGATCTCAATTAAAGTTTTATTTATTTTTTTGAAGTTTCAAGAATAATTGTATTAAAATGTTTTTTTGATTTAAAATAACAAAATTTTGAGTATAAATGAATTGTATAATTCAATATTAATTGACATAAACATATCTATCAATAACGAAATCGCATTTATACCTGTTATGTTTTCACCATTATGTCAAAGAGCTGTGTGAGTACCCTGGAACGCTGGAGAATGGTGACATCTTGCTGATTGGCATCAAAGGGCAGTTCACATACAGGAATTATGTCAAAAAAGTTAAACAGTACGATCAGGTTAGGACTAGAGTTGGTCTCTATCTTAATGTTTCTTGTTAACCTTTTGATGCTTTCAAAGAAAAGTATTTTCCATATCATTCCAAAAAATTATACATTTTTTTTAGTTAATATATTTGACCCAAAATTTTTAGCTAGTAAGCAATAAGAATTATGCAAACAAGTTGGGTGTCGATGTGGTAGAATGGTTGAGGCGTTTGATTCTGCTGCTCAACCTCAAAAAATATCTCTGTCAATAATCCGGAAAATTTTCCCCAGATGATGCACAAAGGTTGTCTAACACAAAAAAGAAAAAGACAAATTTTGGAGAAAGTTTAAACAGTGTATTCTGTATACAATGTATAAAGAATTTAAAAAAATTTAAAAAAGAATAAAAAACTAAAACAAGTTGGCGAGTTCATGTACAGTCTAGTGTTAATATAAAACATTGCCACAACTATGTAAATCAACAATAAGTCAAAAAATCACCACTACACGAGAAGCAATGACATTTTTTGAAGAAGTGATAATATGTTTTTAAACAAAACACTAAATTGATGCCAATGCTTTCCACATTGCTGTCTGTATATTTGCGACACTTGTAAAACTAAACGGAGGGATATATATATATATTGTATATCCATTACCAAGGAAATGCTTATAATAAAAATCAACAAAATAATTGAAATTTTGTTTAAGGCTGTCTGCCGGAAAAAAGATTGTAAGAAGCTGTTTTTGTGCTCCACAATAAAATATTTGATGGTTATTGTTAGATCCATTAGCTGGATCATTTCGAGCGCCTCCATCACCCGCAGATTGAGTACCGCTGCAGAAAAGATTTCACGTTGGAAGGGCCGGAAGGATCCACGTGTGTTGATGGCGTCTGGAGTCCCAAGACCATACCAACGTGCCAACCAAGAAGACATCTGCAGCCGGCTTTTGAGAGATACAGGTAGGCGCTCCCTCCGTGTTGTGTTGTTGCAGTAGTTGTTGCTGATGTCCTGCGGTGTATATTGTGTTGTTGTTTTTGTGTTGTTGTTTTGTGTCTTGATGTGCTACTTTGAGCTGTTGTTTTATGATATACTTTAATTATTTCAAAGTTGTTTTCATAGCTGAGTGTTTCTGATTAGGAAACGCTTGGGTTGTGTTGTTGCTATTTTGAAATTAATGTTTAAGGTAATTGTGAAAGTTTTGTTATTATTATTTGTTGTCACGAGATTGGTGCTGTTACTTTTATGTGGTCATAATATATTGTTGTTGCTTATTGTTGTTTCTTATTGAGATTGTTGATGTTGTTGCGTTTGTTGTTGACGTTATTGTTGTTGTTGTTGAGACGACTTTCAATGGCTTTATAAATCTACCCAGAAGATACATCAACAGACTGGCCCACCCCAGCAACAACAACTACAACAAACTGTCACAGAGCAATAACCGGAGGAAGAAATGATGACGACGATGATGAGGATGATGATGACAACGAAGACGATGATAAATATGATGATGATGCCAATGATAATAATGATGATAATGTGGATGACGATGATGAGCATGTGCACAATATATAAATAACAAAAAACTCTGTTACTATCGCGCTAGTAGGGGTTATAATGAAGAGAGGAACGGAAATAAGGATAGTGTATATAAAGTGATAATAAAACTGGAGATGATGCAAAATGAATCATGATAGTTACTCTACTCTGATAATTTTGTGGCAGTGATTATGTTTAAGTTTTGATAAGAATTTTTATGATGAGATGACAAGAATGGCCTGAAAGTGATAATAAAACTGATAACAAGAAAGTGATAATAAAACTGGAGATGATGCAAAATGAATCATGATAGTTACTCTACTCTGATAATTTTGTGGCAGTGATTATGTTTAAGTTTTGATAAGAATTTTTATGATGAGATGACAAGAATGGCCTGCTGATTGTTAAGAACAACTTGTTTCCGACTATGCTAATCATAACGATAATGAAAATGATGTTAATGCAAAGTTTATGGAAAAAATGTAAGAAATGATGATGTTGGTGATGTTGCAAATTGGAAAATCGCTCACTATGAGTTTAATGATTCATTTTATTTGATCTCCAACTGCATGTATTTTACCATTAATATTTATTGATTTCAAAGCAATATTACTATAGTCGTAAAATATATAATATGTATAAGGTACATAATAATTTATAATATAGGTATGTTAAAATATAAAACTTCAAATGTAATATCTATTCGACCAGTAGTCATGTGAAGATACATATGATTAATAGATAAATACCTATCTTGTATAGATACCTATAATGTATAGATACCATTTCATGTATAGATACTAATGGATGAGGCAGTAATAGTATTATTAAATAATAATAATGTAGATAAATAAATTTAAAATAAATTTAATATTACATTCAATCTAAGTATGTAGTCTTGAAACTTTTGCATAATAAAAGTTGATTGCTTGTGCTCTAGAGTCGAAGCATAGTTAAATAAATTACACATTTTTAAAATTCTTGTTTTTATTTTCTCATTTATGTAAACAAAGCAAGAATTATTCTGTCCGATTGTTTTACTAATAATAAAACGTCGTCTGTATATCAGTATGATATGCTTGTATAAAAAAAATATGATATAATAAATATTATATACATGTATAAATAAACAACGATTGAAATAAAGTATGGTGCATAGAGCAGTTGTTGTTGTTGTGGTTGTTGTTAATATTTTATCACGTCCACATGCTTCGATATCATTCGATAACGCGACTTTCCTGGCTACACGAAACAAATTTGAAGAAAAGAAACAACATTTTATTGTAAATAACTCTAACAGGGGTATTGTCCCTGAACAGCTTACAAATGAAACTGATATATTTTACGCTGACGCAACAGAAGTAAACAGCGAAAAGAACATCGCCGTAAGTTTGTGTGATCACACCCAACAATTCAATAAATCAAAGAGATTGACTACTCGTGTGAAACCCCTCAAAGTCGGCTGCATTTTGTTGAAAACTTTGAAAAAATTATTAGCTAGAACAAAATCACCCATCCATTCAAATGGTGGGGAAGTTACAAATGGGTTCAAGGACACCAACCAAACATCACCGATCAGCATTGTCGACAACATTAACGAGCACCAACATAGAGACGTTGATGACAAAATCGTCAGCAACAGTAACAGTGGCGACTACAACAAACAACACATCGTCTACACGATGAAACAACTGTCAGACTCAAGAGACAACACTTCCAATCCTACTTCAAAATGCATTGCCAAGTGCCAACTCAACGGACATTCGTATGCCGTCGTCGAAGTTTGTGTTTGGGAAGGAATTTTTTCATATTTATCGATGTAAAATATAAATATGTTAAATGATGTTACGATTTCTTTTAGAAGAAATTAAATATATTAATATATATATAAATGTTAATGCGTTCATAATTATGCTAATAGGTATATAAATAAATAAATAAATAGGAACGTTATGTTCCACCCTTTACACACTGTTCACTGAGTCTCAATGCTTAACCTAATCAAAATCAAAAAATGAAAAGAAGATAAAAACTTAATTCCTATTGTTTTGTAGTTTAATTTAAAATTACATTCATAAATAAAAGAAGCTCACGTTCAATGAGAGCCTGTGCCACTGCATAAATGAACTGCATGACGTAATGATGACGTCAGGTTGTGCCGCTGGAGGCAAACGTGGCGAGGGCGGTGAGAGCGGTCATAACGATGGCCGCGATCAGAGGATTGTCATTCTCAACGTTTATTCCGGTAAATTTATTTTTTATTTCGACAAAATTTTTCCAACACAATGAACATTACCGTTAACATCGTCATCATCATTATCAAAACCATATTCGGATACGCCATCATCGTCGTCGTCATAACTTTCATCATTAATATAACTTCCAGCTTGCTCTCAGAATAGATGGGGAGACAAGTGCGAGCGGAAGTGCTACTGCCTCCTCTCTCCATCATCATCCTCTCCATCATTGTCAAATGCTGACAAGAACGGTTTTGTTGATGAAGATGAAGACATAGAGACGTGTCGAGTGCTGCAAGCTGGAGTTGCTTTCAACAAGACAATGCCGAACATTTATTTTATACGTTGGTGATGACGGTGATGTGCGGCAAAGTGATGATGATGACGATAGAGACGATGATGGCAATGATGGCGATGATGTCGATAATGATGACGATACAAAAATGAGAATGATGATGGCGTTGATGATGATGATAAACGAATTTTAATCTGCACTCCGTTTTATCACCCAAGTCATGTTATTGAAAGGCTGGCAACTTATTGTAAAAAATTTAATAATAATAATAATTTTTATAATAATAATAATAATATAAATAATAATAATAATGATGATGACGATGATGAAGATGATCAAACGTCATCACGTACTGGCATCTAAAATAATTATCAGCATACACCAAAATAAAACAGGCTATGATGCTCGTCATATAATTAAAATGAGTACATCAAGAAATAAAATCAAATCAATAAAAATGCAAAATAATAATAATAACAATAATAAATTTATTGTTAATAATATTGAAAAGTTTTAAATAGTAATAAAATTAATACATTGTACATATGCAAGGATGACTTATAATGATGACATTAATGATTTGTAACGATGACAACGATAATAATTTCTAGAGCACACAAGGTTTAAAAAAGTTCTCGTCGTACTTGCATCTGTCAGCTTGCTCATCCTCGTCTTCAACATCACAGTCTACGTGCAATCTCGCTACGGTTATTTTATTATCACAAGACTTTAGTGCAAAAATAACCTAGATTCATTCCATCATTATCCATCTTTTGGCGGTTTTATTAAATTTAATATTCCAAACTTCAGTCCAGTCTGTAATGTCTTCTATTCATTTCTTGCCGGGTCTTCCAACTTTTTTCCTCCAGTTTCTCTTTCATATTAGTACTGATTTTATTTATTATCCGGCGTTTTGCAAGCATGTTTGAAAAGTCCCGGTTTTTTTAATTTGACCTTTTTGCATGCATTGTTTTGTTTTCCAAGCTGGTCTCTCGTGATTTGTTACTTACTTTCAGTTTCTAACTGATACAGAACAATTTTCCGTTGCATTTCAGCTCAAACGCTTCTAACCTCCATCGTTTAATTTTTATTGTTTTATTTATTTGTTTAATTTTTTATTGTTTTATTTATTGTTATATTTAAGTTTTGCGTGCAAACCTGCCACTCATTTTCCAGCAAGATACGTTAAATTTATTTGATCTGTACTTGCTGTTCAGTGGGTCTCTTTAAACACTGCTCCTCTTAATTATGGATCTCGAAACACAATATTCATGCATGAATATCTATGGCTGTATATTGTATTCTATAGTGCCTATAGTAAGAAAAACAAGAGTTCAAAATCAGAGCAAATCAACCAAATCAATCAAATATTGAAATTATTATTATCAATCAATTAATAAATCATTTCCCAGTTTTTCTGAGAAAACAGGAAGACAGAGAGGATTACAACCGAGAGATGGGCATCATCTTATCAGATATCTCAAAAAATTACAAGCAGCAAGTCCTGAAGTGGTCAGCAGTTAACCCAACACCACCAAACACCGCCACTAAAGAAACTTCAGCCCCCTGATCTAACACGAGTTCATTGAATACTACCAGATGATTAAGAACTTGTGGTTAAATTTTACATAAAAACAAAACAATTGCAAAAACATTTTTCAACTTAATCATTCCATATTTTGATGAAATAATATTTCACGTCGTGAGTCGTTAAAATGATGAAGATTGAAAGCAAGATGCCTTCCTTTTGATGTCTCGACGCAGCATCTGCTGTTGCTGGCTCAATACATGTTATTGTCCTGAACCAATCAACCAATAAGCCGAGATGTGTTTGAACTTAGTTTATTACCGCTGTGAATAAATAAAATTTCCCAATACGGCAAATAAATGCAATTACAAATTCTTTGTAAATATATGCATCCATATCAATATCACAACATAAAATTTCAATTATTCAATCAAATAAACATAAGAGCAAAATGAATATTTAATGTAGAGTAAGTGATAAAAATAAATATGTATAAAGTAATTAAATGTTGACTTCATTCTAAAACCTTATTAAATATAGTTTATATACAATTTTCTGCTTATATTTTCAACAAAAATTCATCACTTACCTATATCTACCTACCTAACTATTTACCTAACCGTCCGTCCGTCCGTCCGTCCGTCCGTCCATCCATCCATCCATTCATCTATCGATCAAAATCATTATTCAACATTTCTACCTTTCTCCAATCATGAATCAGCACCATTACTCCCATCATCACATCCATGTTTAAGGGTCCCACCAGGCGTCTCTGCCCCATCAGTCAGTCACATGCAGGTCAGTCCCATCAAGCCATCTTCAGACAGGATACGTTGAATCCTGTTCCTCTGTGCTGTCCAATGAGTCTCAGCAGGTTCTGCTTCTTGACGATGGCTCTCGACGACTCCAGCTCGTAGAGAGTGCACAGGTTCAAAACCACAACCTCCTTCGAATGGTTTCAATCAGTTAATTAATTAATCGGTCGCTAGATTTTATTTGCACGAAGACAAAAACATAGAGAGATTCAAAGACATAAAAAAACTACGAATAACATAAACAAATAGATTAAAAGATATCCATAACTAAATGAAATTGGGTAAAAATAACCTGAAGGAATGTTTTTGGGGACGTGTAGATGATGAGTTCCAACTGTCGGAGGGCCTCCCTCAGTCTGCCAAGGTACAATGCACAAACACACATGTTGTTCAGTGCCTGTGTGATCAGTGAGGTGTCAACTCGGTCGTCATCAATATTATTAATGCTGTCAAGGATGTGCTGTGTGTTATCACGAAATTGTTATGCTTTTCAGTCATCAAGGACACCCTTCAGTCATCAAGGACACCCTTCAGTCATCAAGGACATCCTTCAGTCATCAAGGACATCCTTCAGTCATCAAGGACACCCTTCAGTCATCAAGGACATCCTTCAGTCATCAAGGACATCCTTCAGTCATCAAGGACATCCTTCAGTCATCAAGGACATCCTTCAGTCATCAAGGATATCCTTCAGTCATCAAGGACACCCTTCAGTCATCAAGGACATCCTTCAGTCATCAAGGACATCCTTCAGTCATCAAGGACATCCTTCAGTCATCAAGGACATCCTTCAGTCATCAAGGACATCCTTCAGTCATCAAGGACATCCTTCAGTCATCAAGGACACCCTTCAGTCATCAAGGACACCCTTCAGTCATCAAGGACACCCTTCAGTCATCAAGGACACCCTTCAGTCATCAAGGACATCCTTCAGTCATCACAATTACTTCAACATCGACAAACAATTAGACAATTCCATTCACCGTTTATCTTCATTATTTATGCGATGGTGCAACTTATAAAAATAATTGAAATAAGGCAAGCCACAAATGCACAAATTGAGATGTACCGTTAAATTATTCTTATCCTGTTCAAAGAGATGCTTGAATGAACTGTAGGCCTCGGCATACCTCCCCAAGCTCATGTCGATGAAACCTCTGCGTTTGAAGCAGCAGTTTGTTACGAAATTGTTAAGAAGGATGATTAATTATAATACTGGCATGGAATGTGGTTTAACGCAACCCAAATGGGTTTTTAAAAATATAAGTAGAAGATACCGTGTGGTGAATGTACAAACCTGTTGAGAAACTTTGCCGAGAGGTACTGCTGCTCATTTCGAAAGTGAGAGGGCTGTATGAGGGAGAAGTTCATCTCGGCTCTCTCCACGTCACCCAACTGACAACAATAACTTCATTAACTTCATCATCATTTAAATTAGTTGCAACATTGCTAAATGATATCAAGAAACTATACAATACAAAACATAAAAACAAATAAATATTACGAACAAAGACAAATTAATAATTACAACAAGCAAACAATAGCAATATACTAAACACACAGCAATAAAACGATGTAAATAAGAAATGTAAGCCATTTTCTAAAGCATCGATGTTAGCAAATTTGTAAAAGTGGTGAGAGTAAGAACTAAATGAACCTGCAAGTAAACTCTGCCCATGGCTTCGTGAATGTCTGACTTGTGTTCAACATCCTTGGTCAACAATGACCTATAGGTCGCCAGACAGTTCAAATAGTCCTGCACACGTTTTAAAATTACTCTAATATAAAAATCGTATGAAATATAATAAAATACCTATTTTAGATTATTGTCGTAAATAATAAAACCAGTATGGCTAGAAATAACAAAATATAAGTTGCCAAATATCAGGCAGTAACTAAAACTGTTAGAAGCAGCACTTATAAATAAAAACCTAGCAAACATTAACGAGATTCTATTAAGGAGAAGAAGGAGTAATGATGATGTCATGAAGATAGTGATTGTGATGATAAATAAAATAACGATAAAGATACTGAAATGAGAACGTAGATAACGAAAATGATAGTATCATGGCAAGGTAAATGGTGAAATGGTAAGGTTGATGGTGAAACGACGTGATGAAGATGATAAAATTGTGAAGTAGATGGTGAAAGGACGTGATGAAGATGAAGAAATGCAAGGCACTGAAGATGTAGATGATGATAAAAATAATGAAATGTTAATATAAATAATGATGAAAATGTTGACAATGGGAATGATAATGTTAACAACCTTCATGCTGAGCAAACAGTTAGATATGCAGTACAACAGCCTTGCCTCTCTCTTCCTCCAAATCAACTTACATTCTGCAATACAAAATATACATCAACTTAACTTATGCTAGTGAACTTGTCATGGATTCAAAAAATATTTTAATTTCATAATCACATCATAATTATCACCATCATCATCATCGTCATCATCATCAATCATGACGTACCCTCTCTTTCACTCACTGTTATCTCACAAGATGGCAGCCCATATTCATCTTTATCGGATAACAAATTTTCTTGTATCTGAACAGTAAATATTTCTAAGCATTATGACAAGAACATGAAGAAGGAACACATTGAAAGAGGCGATGAAATAGGAAAAAAAATTATTAAAAAGTTATAATAATATTTGGTTATATTTATTTAACCAAGTTATCATGACACAATGTGTCAGTTACACCAGAGTAAAACCATGCTATAATGTAAATGTTTTTTGAAACAAAAAAACTAAAGATCTCAACTTATTCACTCATCAATTACAGAATCTAGCTGAATAAACGTAATGACAAAATAATAACAAACAAAAACTAGCTTCAGCACAGGCACGCCCATAATAATAATAAAATAATAATAAAAAAAGTATAAATAAAGAATTTCATTAGTAAAATAACACCACTGCTGCAACAACGTTAACAACCTTGTTAACAATGGAGAGCATGTGGTAGAGTCGATCGAGTGATTGTTGGCACCTGCCAAGATGTTGAGGAAGTTCTGCATGCAAGATCCTCATCCCAAACGGAACCATAGAACCTGGGCCAATGGTTACTTGTAATTAGCCAACCAACCAGTCATCCAGTCATCCAGCCAGCCAGCCAGCCAGCCAATCAGTCAGTTAATTGTTTAACTAGATAATTTCATAGATTGTTTCAACAGTTGGGTTGTTTAATAGAAAAAATTACTTATTTGCATGGTTAATCAATTAAATTATCAAAAGTTCAGAGCTCAACCTTTTCTATTAGGAAAAGTTGACTGGTAAAACTCATAGAAGATATCTGGATTGGAAAGGTTCCCAAATGGCTCCCACTCACATTCAGCTGGACCATACAAATTGAGGCGGGCAAGCAAGGACAGTCTTACAAACCAAAGCTACACCATTTAAAAACAAGATGTTATAGGTCATAGGTTGGTACAACATTCTTCAACTGAAACTGATAATTTGCAAAATGAATCTTTTCCAGAAATCTACCTGAAGTGAGTAAGGAGTGTTGGTGGAAATTTGGTTGGCCCTCCTGGCCCCCTGCCCACATGCAGTCAGCAGCTGACCAGTGAGGTCCACCGCTGCTCGCAAACTGTTGGCTTTCTGTTGATGGAAATGCATGTCAGCCCGATGAAATGATAAAAAACAATTACAAACAAAAAAATTAAAACATTAACAAAGTCATCACAATAAAACAGCACCATCGTCAACACAATGCTGAACCAAGAACAGCAGCAAATTTTCATGAAAACTTCCAAAACAGTTTAATAACAGAACCTGTATCAACGCATACACGATGAAATCAAACAATACCAAAAACAAAACACCATCTAACAATCAATTGTTGGAGACCAGAGACATCTTGTGAGACACTGTCAACCTTCAGCACCAACCTCTTTGAGGCCTCGTGCTCACCGATGTGCTTCAGTATCAAATCTCTTATCGGATCACCCTGGTATCGCATGAATTCAAACCATCAACATCAACTACCAAATTAACAATAGCAGCAATAAAAAATAACACTAGTTTTTTTATTTGTGCTTTATTTTGTAACTCCAATCACTTCTATCAGTTATTTGTAACCTTTGTAACAATATATTGTAAACTTTGTAACCTTCCTACCTCGGGAAACCGGGTCTCTGGACGCAAAACGAAGATTGATTTGTAACAATATAGAATTTCTAAAAATAACTGATAGAGCTGATTAGAGCTAAAAAATAAAAATCAATAAAAACAAATTCCTAATTTATTCCAGCGTTGGCTAACAAGTGTTTCCTCAATGACGATGCCGGGCATTGTCAGCTGGTCCATAGGACACGGAACAACAACTTTTGGTCCTTTGTTGCAAACTGTTTTCAATATCTGAACCGTGGAATCAACAGGCAACCAAGCATCATAACTCCTATCCAGCAGAGACGATGATGATGATGATGTTGTTGTTGTTGTAGTTGATGGCATTGTCGTTGTAGTTGATGGTGTTGTTGTTGTTGTTGATGCCGTTGTGGGTGTTCTGGTTAAGGCTAGAGTACTTGGTTGTGATGGTGAATTGATTGTTGTTGCTGTTGATAATGCTAATGAGCTTGTTGATGAAGATGTTAAAATAGGTGTTGGGAATGACGTAGAAGTGATGGATTGCTCCTTTGTGCCAGAGGTTGAAATGTTAGTGCTCACTAAGTTGGGAAAATTAATTTTTTCAGCTGGCTTCACGGAACTCAACTGAGACGTATTCAATATAAATTTTTGCAGTTGTTCAGGTAGTAGTTGTTGTTGGTGTTGCTGTTGCTGATGAAAATGTTGTTGCAATTGCTCAAATTGTTGTTTTGTATGTTGTGTTTGCTGCTCAAATTGAAGATGTTGTTGGGGATGTTGTACCAGTTGTTGTGGCTGTGACTGTAATGACTGTTGTGATTCTAGTTGCCCAGTGTGCTGAGGTTGTAATTGCTGAGGTTCTTGATGTTGGTGGAGGTTTTGAGCTACTTGTTGCGGCTGCAGTGGCTGAAGTGGTTGCTGCAGGGGCTGAAGTGGTTGCTGTTGTTGCTGCAGTGGATGAGGTGGCTGTTGAAACACAGACTGATAAGCCATTTCCATATTAACTTCATTATCATCAATTTTCTCTACAACTGAAGTTTCAAATGATTTCTGAACAGGGGATGGTTTTGAATCATCATCCCTTTTTTTTATGGTTGAAGCAAAAGTTCTCCTCAAATTACTACCATAGTCACTGGTATTGTCAATTTGTTGATCAGTTTCTTGATCAAGCTGGGCTGTAGTGAATTGGTCAAAAAAATTTTTCCCCTCCACATCGATAACATTTGCTGGTGGCTGTAAGGGGTTTTCAGCAAAGAACTTGATCAAACATTTTGTGCTGTCTGTAGTCACAAGTTTGTTTGCAGGCTTGGGTTCTTTATCTTGGAAGAAATTAACATTGCTGGGTGCCTCAGAGACTGGTTTGATGGATTGCAACAGCGAAGCATCTTTGTCCAGCTTGGTAGAAATTTGGGAATTGATAGGATCATTAACTTCAATAAAATTTAAATCATTTGAGATACTGAAAAATTCATCTTCAGGATCATTTTTGTTGTTGTTTGAGTTTGTTGCACCATCTATGATCCCTTCATGCTGGCATTCCAAAGATTCTATTGCAACAAGATCTGTCATAGTCGATGTATTTGCTATAATCTCATTCTCATTGACGTTTTGAACAACACTATCACCCTCATCATCAAATAAATGAAGATTCATCATGGATTCATTTCTACTGTTGATACTGCTATTATTATCAGCATCAGCATTTGAAGGAGCATCCAATAGAATATTCTCTAGAGATCTGTTGACATCAATATCACCTGATGAAACCATGAAATGTCCATGGATATGTTGCTGTTGATGGTGATGGAGATACTGTTGTTGTTGTTCTCGCTCTTCATTGTCTGGAGATAAGATGCTATCAATGGAACTGACTTTTGAAAGTTGCTGATTGTAAAATGGATCCATTTATTCAATGTTGATAATTTCTTTCAGGGAAATATAAAACAAGTTAATTTAATATTTTTAAATAAATTTCGAAATGAATTAATATGTCATATCCATTTAGCAAAAATAAATTAAATAACATCCCATATGCATATTGTATTGATGTGTTTTAACTTTAATTAAGCCTTAAGCCCAAGGCTTAAGCCTAATGGCCTAAGGCTAAGGTATGGTGTAGTCCTTATTTATCTTATAATATAATATAATAATGCTTATACTTATATAATATATATATATATATAGTCTAAAGTGTAGTCTATAAAAGTATAAAATAAACAAATGACTATTAGTATTAATTATTAAGATAAATCTTTTTTCTTAACCGTTAACAAAAAAAACAATAACAAAAAACAATTATTGTAAAAAATATAAAATAAAATAAAGGAGGGCGAATACATTTTAAATTTTGCAGTGAAATTTTGCTTGAAAATGTTAAACTGTTTAAAGTTTAAACAGTTAACAGAATGATAAAATGAAAAATTATTAAAAAAGTACGACATACGATCCATACCATATAATATAATGCACAGGTCTTCCGATATCAAACAAAACTTATTCTCCACGAATACACATGCAAAAATTAAGAACGTTTATGAACTCTGCTACAAAGACTGACCGACCCATCTATTAAATTAACATGTGACCGACCTATATTATAAGCAGTGTTTATGCCGGGATCAGATACGTTGACGAGGGGCGAGCATGTATTTAAGAAAACTTTGTATATGTGTTACGTGTATGCAGCCACCAATATATTAGTACTGAATTAACTTCTGCTACTATTACTTCTGGTACTACCACCACCACTACCAGTACTTTTGAACTACAACATTTACAATGGATACTGCCACTAATTCTAATACTACTACTGCTGCTAAAGCTACTACTATTACTAATACCACTACTACCACGACTATTACTACTATTATTATTACTACTACTTCTACTACTACTGCTACTACTACTAATACCCCTACAACTACTACTACTACAGCTTTACAAAAAAAAAATCATTAAACAGAAAAAAAACTGCTGTTGCTTGAGAAATTTTTTTTAATTTAGAAAAAAAGACCGTTTAAGACAGTTCCATATCAACAGAACTCACCACTGAACGGTGAACATTTTCCCACCTACAATCACCAACCAGTAGAGCTTGTGAAAAACTTGAGCTCACAAGAACGTAAACGTCGAGGCACTGTAAATTTTGCAGGCACAAAAAAATTGTGTAAAAAAATTAAATTAATTTCAATTCTTGACAAAAATTGTGTATAGGATAAGTTTTTTATTTGCAACCAGTGCAAATTTCGCAAAATCAGACTTGCATGATCAAATTTCCGACTACAGTTTTTGCTTTTGATTGAATAATAACAGTTTTTGATTTTGATTGATTTGATGCAGGTAGAAGAAAGAGTTGCAGTTGTCCAATCTCAAATGAATGAACAAGGGTATCAGGTTCTTGTAGCACGCCGAATTTTTTACTTTCGTTTACTTGGTTTACTCGGAAATAAAATTTCCAAAAGGAGTATTTGAATCAAGATTTTCTAATCGTTTCTTTATAATATTCGTTATTATTTGTAACATTTTTTACCACCTCGTTTCATTCTTATAGTACCCATGCATTGAATTACACTAAGGAAATGAAATATAAAGTGTTTGATTTGTACGTTGACTTGGAATTACTTCATTACACTGCAATGATGACGAGTACATAAGTACAAATGTAGTACTTAAGTACAAATGAAAACCTGCACTTAAATACTTATACTTAAGTACATTTTCCATTACTTGTACTTATAAGTAATAAATTTTTCCTGTAAGTACCAGAAAAATTTTAAGCAAAAATAAGATAATGTCAACATTTAAAAATTGAAAACTGTGATGAAAACACACACACACATTTTCACATTGACATTCTTGTTTATCTCTCTTATCAACATTTGTTCTTGTTTAGTCATGGATAGCGGGATGTTAAGATAACCATTGGCTAATTGAGTCATTAAAAGGTGGTTAAGTCACATCACTCTGACATCTATATATCTATATCATAGACTCTACATGATCTATATACACATGCACGCTATATATAGTAGTTATTATATATATATATATATATATATAACAATCCTTATAAATATATGTGTTCACATATATTTATATTGTTCACATATATTCACATTTTGTTCACATTTTAAATATACGTGTTGAAGTGTTTTTGTTTACATTATAAATATATGTGTTGAAGTGACTTTGATGAAAATGGCTGATAAAAAGATGCCTTTAGTAGTTAGGAACTATTTTAATGAAGTAGTTGAAGATGATGGAGATGTTATAGTTGCACTTTGTGACTTGTGCAAGCCAAAAAGACATCTTATTCGTGGACAACATAAAGCTCCATCCAATTTTACCAACCACGTGAAGTTAAATTTGATTTTGATGATATGTTAAAATTGATAAAATGTAGCTTATAAATAAATAATAACAAAAATATAAATTTTATGTATATTATATTTCTATTTTTTTGAATACATATTAATTAATATTATTTTGTTAATAAATCTCGAATTAACTCTCTATTAAATTTCTATTTATTGCATTTTTCATTTTTATATACAGAAGACACATGGTGAAAATTATCTACAAAAGATGCACGAGGAAGAAAATAAATTAAAGACGGGTAGAAAGCGAGGTGCAGATGAAGAAACTACCACAGTTTCAACTCCATATAAAAAACAACAGCAACTTGACTTATTAAATGTATCATCAATATCAAATAAAAAGGTTGAGGATTTAATAATTAATTTTGTTATCAACGACTTGCAACCACTTTCAATTGTGGAAGGAGAGGGGTTTAAAACTTTGATACAGGGTCTGAACTCAAAAGCCCGAGTTATGTGTACCGAGACATTAAAAGGTATTCTGGCCACAAAGATTACT